AAGGAAGGAAGGAAGGAAGGAAGGAAGGAAGGAAGGAAGGAAGGAAGGAAGGAAGGAAGGATTTCAAAAAGAAGCAGTGGCTCCATGTTTAGACTCTTCACAGGTTTATTAATCATCCAATTGAAACAAGAACACAAGCAGAAACAGCTGGGTTCAGAAGGAAGGAAGGAAGGAAGGAAGGAAGGAAGGAAGGAAGGAAGGAAGGAAGGAAGGAAGGAAGGAAGGAACCATCATATCAATTTAAGAGAATGAAGTGAATAACAGCGTTTCTTTATCTTATTTTTTCATGCTGCCTTGGGATCCAGACATTTCCTTCAATATGACCTTTGACCTGTGGATGGAGGGATGAGGGAATTCAATAACTAATAATCCACATCACTGATTAGAGACGGTTAATGTCCAGGCCAGATGTTTCCATCAATCCTCTACAGATGTTCTCAGCAGGAACAGACAGGCAGAGGACCTGGAGGAGGTCAGCAGCACTGGGACACCACACTTCATGCACAACGAAGATTCACTAACAGCCACTAGGGGGAGACAGAGAGCCAATGAGGAGGACAGTGCTGAGGAGGTGATCAGTCATCGAAGCGTCCCTCCAGGATGCTCTCAAAGGAGAAGGGGACAAACTTGAAGCCCTGGCCGGTGTAGAACTTGTTCTGGAACTCCACCCTGCAGAAAAGCCCAGACAAAAGACACAGGGTTACACAGGGAACCAGAACCAGGTCCAGTTAGACTGAAGCTCTCCTGGGTCTGCTGTCCTGGTTCCAGTTGTGGGTTTTATTTTGTTTTGAAGACTTTTTGTTCTGATGATGGTTGATCTGACGCATTTTAATGACTTTTCGCCAACATGTATCCCAGCAGCCAGAGGACAGGCCAGGACCAGGACCAGAACCCGGACCATAACCCGGATCAGGACCAGAACCCGGACCAGAACCAGGATGCTGACCTTTTAGCAGGAGCATTGCCTGCTCCTCAGAGGGAGGCTCCAGGAATGTCTCCCAGCCGTGGAGAATTTCAGGCCTTCATGCCAGAGTTCAGGAGGGCCGCCCTCAGAGAGGGAGACACGTATCTGCTGCTGGCTGTGAAATGGACTCAGTCTGTTTGCACAGATACATTCCTGTAGAACTTCAGGCCCGATTCTGGGCTAATCCTTCATGGGGTCATGCCCTCAGTCCTCCTGTTGCTCCAGCAGTGATGTCTGTGTATCAGAGGGTTGGTATGCTGTGAGGCTCCACCTGCTCTGGATGATAGTGGTACCAGGTGGTACCATGGAGCCTCCTCCTGGCCACTATCTCAGCTTTTCAACATTAAGATTTTATCCAGAGAGCATTTAATAAACAGGTCGGCGGTTAAGTCAAGGTCCAAAAGGTGGTAGAACAAACAGTGTCTGATCAGACCCGATGTGTTTCTGCATTCCTTCCTTATTGGATCAGAACCTGCATCAAACCATGCACCCGTGTGTACTGACCAGTGCAGACGCAAGGCGTGCAGGAAAGCAGAAAGGCCCTCCATGACGAGCAGGATGGCGACGGTCAGAGCGGCGAAGGCAGAGAAGATGATGGACAGACCGAAGAAGCCACCGCCGCTGCTGGACGACAGACCCAGGTGCATCACCATGGACCACAGCACCTCGGACAGCTCTGCAGTGGACAGAAGGACAGAGTCAGACCCCAGTGCTCCCAGTCAGTGATCAGTGCACCGTGGGCCTGTCACTGGGTGGGACTCACGTGCGTGGGCCAGGCTGAGGGCCCAGAGGCGCAGGTAGGAGGCGGTGTTGGAGATGCAGCCCAGGCAGTACTCAATGGTGTGGATGGCCTGGTGGACGGCTACGTCTCCAAAGTTAAACTGGAGACAGGAGACATCAGAACATCACCCAGAACAAAGAACAGACCAGCAGCCTGTGTAGCAACCATCGTCATAGCGACACATCAGAACCAGAACAGAGACAGGAAGTGGCTCTGTTCTGGGTTCACCTCTAGGGGGCAGAACATCCAGAAACATCACCTGGAGTCCAGCACTGTGTCTGTCTTCCTTTTGTTAATCCATGCTGGGTTCTATCGGAACCAGTAGCGGGTCAGAACCCATCCTAACCTCAGGAGACTCCCCCGGGCCACTAAGAGGCACTCTTTGCTTCCACTGTTACTGGGAACTGAGTTCCTGGAACTTCCATAAATTGTCCTCACTGGCAGATCAACCACCTCACCCTGAGCCAGATTCTGGGGTAGAGTTCTGCTGCGGCCCAGTTCAGACCCGGTCCCTTTGAAACGACTGGTTTGGTTCCATTACAGCCATTCTTCTTCTCCTCAGCAGGATCACAGCTATTGTATCTTGACGCACCAAACCGGTCGGTCTGTTCTCTCCATCCGGAACCAAACCTGCCTTTTCCTGAGGAAGAGGGGAAGACTGGAGGCCCCGCCTGCTTTCTGCTTTACAGCGGCCCATGAGGGACACAGAACCACCACTTCCTGCTCAGAAAACATCCAGAAGCAGCCCTCATGGTGGCCGGTTCTGGAGGAACACCATCATGCCCATTACACAGACAGACTGGGAGGAGCAGCTCCACATGCTGACAGACTGCAGAAGTTCTTACCGGTTCTTCTTCTGAGTGCTGCAAAGGAAGGAGAGGAGAGGGTTAGAGCAGAACCTCCAGGATCCGACCCAGAAGGTCCCGTCAGAACTCCAGACACAGCCCAATGCTAAGCAGCTGTGCTTCAGACCGGCTGAGGTCCGGTTCATTCACTAAAGGCTGAGATCAACCCTCCCTGTGGGGCGGGGCTTCCTGCTGGATGAAGCGTCTAAATCTTCTCTGCAGCCTCAGTTATTATGTATGAATAAGTGTGTCCTACAGACAGGAAGGGGAGGAGCATTCCTCCTGGTGGCGCCCAGAAGACCCGTCCCTGATCAGAACTTCTGTTTCCTTTCAAACATTTCCATCAGAACCTGGACAATAAAGCAGGACAGCAGACAGAAGCGGCGCCGCTAGCGCTGTGCGTACAGATGAAGAACTCACCTCGTCTCCTTCGTCCGAGTGCTGAGAGAGCTGGTCGTGGTCCATGATGCCAGCCTCGTCCTCCGTGGGCCCGTTGCCCACCCGGACCCCTCCG